TGTTACAAAAAGTAAAACTTTAGGAGAAGTTTTCTCAAATTTTTTAAAATTGAGGCTCTATAAATTGTCATAAACCTCAGCAACGTTTATGCAATTTGTTAAAAAAAAAAAAGGAACCACTACGAGTTTGTTAGATAGGTTTTTTAAAAGTGATTTTTGATTTTTCGAGAATTGTGATGAGAAATTAAGAAACAATTTTAGGTCTACATAAAAAGTAATTTTTATTTAGAAGAAAAGGCTCTTTTATAAATTATTTCCACACACTAATTAAAGTAATTTTGTTAGGAAACTCTTCTACAAATAATACAAGCAAAATCATAAATCCCGCAAGAAATGACTTGAAACATTTTTAAAGAAAACATATTTGAAGTCACAAATTCTATTGACCTCGATTTCTGTACAGGTGACGTGACCAACAGATTTTCGAAGGTAAGGGAGGTAGCCACATGTACTTTGACGGTCAAATCGGTCACTTGTAAGAATGTATTTGGCTGTGGTATGTTTTTAGCCGTGAGCCACAAAGGTGTTCAGATATTGAGGGTTCGAAAATGTGTGTGTGTGTGTGTGAGAGAGAGAGAGAGAGAGAGAGAGAGAGAGCAATGTTAAAGTTGATGGTGTAAAATTACATTATCTTCAAACGACACGAAGTGTGACATTTATATTAAAAGAGAAGAAATAATAACTGGTGGATAAAAAGACACGTGGTCTCATCTTAGCAATCAAAACACCTTATTATTATATTATCTAGGTTCAGGTGCATTTAGCCATTGTTTGGTGGTCATTTTTTTTGAAAACACAATATTTTAAATAGGATTTTTTCTTAGAGAATGTGTGGTCAAAAAGTATGAAAAGATTCTGAGTTTACGTCTAGAATATTTCATTATATGAATGTATGATTGAAAATGAGTATGTAGAAAAAAGGGTTTTGAAATATTTGGAGACAAACATGGGCTTCATGTTTATGACCATTAGCCACCTTATGGCCTATGCCCAACATGTAAGGAATAAACTTGATAAGTTGACTTTGTAGAGTGACTGCTATAGAAGGGTTACATCAATCGATCACATGAGATCTTGTATGAAAGATTTTATGGGGAACATGTCTCATACACCTAGGGAATATTCACCTCGGAGTAGGACTGTAGTGCCTCATATCACCTCACCTCGTTCATAAAGGTTCGACCTCTTTATGATGGTTCGGTCTTTCTATCGGGGTTCGGTATAATTGCTAGAAGACCAAGTGATGTGAAGTGCAGGCATAGGTTCGCTTATTATGTGGTTGTCACATGATCGTTCTTGGAGCCTTGTTGGATGAAGCTTAACAAATTCTATAATAAAGTGTACTATTCTTTATATCAAGAGGCAATATTACAGAGACCATTAAGTTTTATGGCAATATTAGAGACACCTTCTCGTTCAAAATCTTTTCTAACATCTCCAATTTTAGTTTTGAGTATCACATACTTCGGCCACTTCTTGAGCCATATATATGCAAAATAAAAAATAATGTTCTCACAATTAATTTCAATTTTATTTATTCCTTTTATTAAAAAAATTAGGATATGTTCTCTTTACTGTTTTCAATCCATTTTCAATTTTTAATTTTAGAAAATATTGAAAACACTTTTACTCAACTATTTTCCGAAACGAATTTTCAAAAACGAGTTTAAAATTTACAAATAAAACAGAAAACACCCAAAAAAAGTCTTTTGGCTATTTTCAGTTAAAACCAAGCCAAAACTTTAGGTGCTGTTCTCTTTGTGTTTTGAGTTTTGAATTCATTTCGTGTTTTGTGTTTTGAGTGTCCATTTTGAGATTTTTGAAAATGTGTTCTTTTTGACGTTTTGAAAAATGATTTTCAAAAATTAGAAAATGAAAATACGTTCTCTTCCTTCCTCACTCCAACTCTCTCTCTTCTCTCGTTCTCTTCCTTCCTCACTCCACTATCTCCCCTTTCTTTTTCCCCTCGTCTGATCGTCTCCCTCTTCTTCAGATCCTTCACTGGCGATTTTTTGCTGTGGCGACCCAACTGCAGTGATTTTTTGTTGTGGCGATTTTGGTTGTGGTTTGGCCGCGACGCTGCGGTGGTGGTTGTGGTGGCGGTTGGGTCGCAAATTTTTTGGTTGTGGCGGTGGGGGTCTTGGCTGTGGCAGTTGGGTGATTTTTAAGCTATGGCGGTAGGGTCTAGGTTGTGGCGGTTGGATCGCGATTTTAGTTGCGGTTGGGTCACAATTTTGACTGTGATTGGGTCGCGATTCTGGTGGCGATTTTGCGGTGGTTTAGTCTTCATTTGGCTGTGCGGTGGTGGTCTATATGGTGGCAATTTTGGCTGGGCGGTGGGAGTACTTCTGGTGGTGATTTTTCAGTGGTGTTTCTGCGATATTAGCTGTAGTTGGGGGGATTCTGTGGTGATTTTGGTGGCGGTAGTGTAGTGTTGGTTGGGTGGCGGTGGTGCAGTGGTGGTTTCGGTGGTATAGTGGTGGTCGGTGGTTGAAAACAACGAAAACATGTTTTGAAAATTTTGGCCAAGTTATAATTGAAAACACCCAAAACGACAATTTTGTCGTTTTGTGTTTTCTTTGTAAATTTTCAACCCGTTTTCAAAAACGCGTTTTCGAAAATAGAAAACAGAACGCGTTTTCAATGTTTTGAAAAATCGAAAACAGAAAACGGTTTGAAAATGGCAAAGAGAACATGCCCTTAATTTTTTATTTTTGAAATAATTTTTCAAAATGATAAAAAAAAAAAATGCATTTTCAGCAATTTCAAAATAGACACTCAAAACTCAAAATCCAAAATGAATTCAAAATTCAAAACTAAAAATTGAACACGAAGAGAACATTACCTAATATTTGAAGCTTTTGTTCATATATATATTTCTGAATAGGCATGGTAGGGAAAATTTAAATATTACCTTTACCAATAAAATTTCATATTAAATTCCTAAAGTAAAAGGTAATTGACACAAAACACACATATCCTTTACATGTTTGTGCAAAATAAAATCAACCAAATGTTATGCAAAATAACTCTACTATCCAATTTTCCATTAAATTTTCGTAAATGACAAATTTATTATCCTCTTTAAATTAAGAAAAAAAATAATATCTATAATCAGAGTCTCATTTTTTTCAAAAAATAAAAATGTGTTCTAAATAAAATAATTGAAAAAAAAAAATGAGCATTGCTTAATTTAGCTCGTATTTAATGGCCATTATAAAAAGAATTTTGGG